TTAAAAATTCAGCTTGGTGGGCCGGGCGCGGTGGCTCACGCCTGTGATCCTAGCTCTCTGGGAGGCCGAGGCGGGAGGATTATTTGAGCTCAGGAGTTCGAGACCAGCCTGAGCAAGAGCAAGACCCCATCTCTACTATAAATAGAAAGAAATTAGCTAAACAACTAAAAACAGAAAAAATTAGCTGGGCACGGTGGCATGTGCCTGTAGTCCCAGCTACTCGGGGGGCTGAGACAGGAGGATAACTTGAGCCCAAGAGTGAGAGGCTGCTGTGAGCTAGGCTGACGCTACGGCACTCAGCCCGGGCAACAGAATGAGACTCTGTCTCAAAAAAAAAAAAAAAAAAAAAAATTCAGCTTGGTAATATTGATGGTAAAAAATTGAGACCTCCAAAAACTGGGAGGTAAGTAGAATCATGGGAGATGGCGCCACCTAGTGGACAAAACGCACGCTCCTACTCCTTTTGCTAATTATTAACAAATGGAATCCTATAGCAGCAACTTTAAGAGTGAAAAAATCAACTGGAGAAAAACCTTTTGGATGACTTAATTGGTCATCACAAATAGAAAAATAAGAAAGAAATGAGAAAGCTTATTTTATCTTCTATAAGAAACCATTAAGGGAATTTATTGTTGTATTTAGTATCAGAATATAATAATTCCTGAATGAACAGATCTACATTCACTACTTATCAAAGTATTTCACAAATATTTGTCCATTTGATTGTATCTGCACTCAATGTCAAGATGTTTAATTAGCTAGCTATATTTTAGATGGGGGAAAATAAATGGCATCATATAGAGTAGCTTAGAAAAAATTAGTTTCTGAAAATAAATATGCCAATTATAAGATGGAAATCAAAAGACCTGAGTCTTAAATGGCTGTTATTATGTTTTAATTAGATAATTAGTTTCTATCCTACTTCATTTTGGTCTGTGTTTGACTTATTTTACAAGTCAAGTAACTTTTCTGTGCCTCAGTTTCTTCATTTGCAAAATGAAGACATGTTAATAAAAAAGGCTTATTGGATGGATGATTCCATGCCCAGCACATTGGTAGATACTAGAAACACAGAGATGAACAAAACACAGTTCCTCATATCAGAGAACACAATCCTTAGAGGAAATATATAAAGAAATAATTTTAATATGAGGCAGCAAGAACAGTGACATACACCAGCACATAGAAATATCAAGGGATGGTAGCAAACTCAACCCCAGAAGCAAGTGGAGATACAATCCAGAAAGGCTTCCGAGAGGAGGCCAAAGCCTCCAGGTAAGGCTTAAAGAATGACTGAGAATTAATAAGCAAAAGAGGAGAGTGCAGACCGAGAGGGCATTCCAAACCAAGACTGCCTATATGTAAGATAATACTATGCGTGGGGCATTTGACAAAACCAGGGTTCTTTGGGACCCTTAAGAGAATATGAATTCTACTGGGTGTGCAGAGTAGGATTCCAAAAGACTCTGGTCTTGCAAAGTGGGTTGGTAGGAAGAGCCCCAGAAAGATCCTAGAGGGTGTGCACCAGGCTGCCTGGCAAACTTAGTATTCTTTTTGTTGATTAAAACTGGCCTTTTAGTTCTAGTCTTCTGGGGAGTGAATGCATTGCCTGGGTTTAATGTCAGGCTGGCATGGACCTCTTCAGTGGAGTACAGTTTTATTAAATTTATCAAATACATGACGAGGAATACCCTATGGACTCCTTAAACATGAGACCAACAAGGTGGTTAATGGTGCCGAGTCACTTTCTAACCCACAGGTGTTGTGAATGAAACGCTGACCTGCAGAAATAAAATTCTGTAATCTATTACAGTTCTATTCATATCTTTATAATCAACACCTGCCTTTTACTTTGAAGTTCTGTTTTGAGTTGTTGTTGGTGGTATGTTTCGTTTTGTTTGGCGGCTGACTGTAAAAAAAAAAAAAAAAAACTATTGCTAATACAAAATCATTACATTTTAAACTAAATATTTGATTTGCAAGAAAAATAAGTGGTTTAGTTTTGTGTTTGTTTTAATTTCTTATTTATTTATTTCTGGCTTTAAAAGAATCAGTTTCCCGTTAAACTTTAAATATCCTGTAAAAACTTGGTGGAGCCCTTACATGAATACAACTTTTGTCTTTATAGATACAGGCTGGTTCCAAAAGTTTATTTTCCTGAGCAAATCCATGATGTTGTACATGCCACAAAGCATTTCCTGCAGCCAGAAATCTTACAGAAGTATATGGTGGACCCAGGCAGAATTTGCATTTCTGGTGACAGTTCTGGTGGAAATTTGGCTGCTGCCCTTGGACAACAGGTAACACCATTGCCCTGAGGTGCTGGTGGCGGGAGGGCACATGGTAAGGTCCAGCAGACCCACACATTCTCCACTGCATGTGGCGAAGGCACAGTCAGGTGAGCTGGTCACTAGATGGCCAAGTTATTCATACGGTTGCACTTGCAGAGCTCTCAGAGATGCTTTCGAATTAGGAAGATGGGACATTGAAGGAAGTGTCATCTATGAGTCCTTATAAAAGCCCTGATTATATTCAGTATTACAGAGGTGCTAACATCCCTTGGTTCTCCAGGATATGCATGGAAATTATATATCCCTTCCTCCTTTTCCATGTTTGACTTACAAAAAGGAGTATTTTTGTTTATATTCCAATTCGTAAGATTCTTTCCTCAGAACTTTGAGCCTAATTAAAAAATTAAAAAGTATTTCCCCCAATTTTTTTTAAAAATTAAATGGATCAGCCATTTAAATTTTTATATAACAAGTTAATCTGAGCTTTACCTGTTTAAGTTCTTTGAAATCTGCGCCTGTCTGTAATAGCACCCAAATTTTTTGGCAGCTCTATAAACTCAAAAGTAAACACAACATTTTCTTCCTCTTATAGATTAAATAACCTGAGAATAGCATTTCGTGAGACCTCAGGGTATCCCTGCTGATGAACATTTAGTATTCACATTTGACAAGAGAGTAAAAATTTGCATTAACACCCAGGTGTGCTAAGTGCCAAAAGATAGATACAAGTGAAATATTAATGGGAGTTTAAAAACCTGAGATTATGTACCCTTGAAGGGTTCACTTAAAACTATGAGTTGCAAACATCATACCTTTCTTAGTAAGCAGCCAGCAGCTTGATGGGGGTGGTGGTGATGAGAATTATTTATTTTTTAAACTATCATGCTTAATACTATGCCTGATATAAACTTAACACTTACACCTTTGACAGATTCGAAGTAACACATTAAGATACTTTATAGGGTATGGTTTCTGTGTAAGGAGCTATGCAAAATGAAATAATGTGTTTCCTTCCTCTTCTTCAGCTTACTCAAGACCCCAACTTAAGAAATAAGCTAAAATTGCAAGCTTTAATTTATCCAACTCTTCAAGCTTTAGATTTTAACACACCCTCTTATCAGCAAAATGTGAACACCCCAATCCTGCCCCGCTATGTCATGGTAAAGTATTGGTTGGACTACTTCAAAGGCAACTACGACTTTGTGCAGGCAATGATAGTTAACAATCACACGTCACTGGATGTGGAAGAGGCCACTGCCCTCAGGGCTCGTCTAAACTGGACGTCCCTCTTGCCTGCATCCATCACAAAGAACTATAGTCCTGTTGTGCAGACCACGGGCAATGCCAGGATTGTCCGGGAGATCCCTCAGTTGCTGGATGCCCGCTCTTCCCCACTCATAGCGGACCAGGAAGTGCTAGAGCACCTCCCAAAGACCTATATTCTGACGTGTGAGCATGATGTTCTGAGAGACGATGGAATCATGTATGCCAAACGTTTAGAGCGTGCAGGCGTGGAGGTGACCCTGGATCACTTTGAGGATGGCTTTCACGGATGCATCATTTTCACCAGCTGGCCCACCGACTTCTCGGTGGGAATTCGGACTAGGAATAGTTACATCAAGTGGCTGGATCAAAACCTGTAAAGGAATAAAACTTCTAGAAGGCTCCAGTGAGCCCCTCTTCACCTCCTATACCTGCTTTGGAAAAACATGCACTCTTTTGTTGACTAATCCTTCCTCCCACACCCACAGCCCCCAACCCCCAAACCCCCACCCCTATTACTTGTGAGTTATGGAATCTCTATTCCCTGCAGACTTTATGATAATCTAATATTTTAAAATGAATTTGACTAATTTAAGTGCAAAAACATCTGACTTTGGTTCCATAGTGGGCCAGTCTGTCTGTTCATGTTATTTTGATCAACTACTGCTAATACCTACAGCTACAGAAAGCAGGGCTAGGAACTGCAAATAGCCTTGGTCCTGCCTTCATCTAGATGCTCTTTCAGAAGAAATTCTTCCAGCTGTGGATGATATAATGATCTTTAATGAGTTAAGAAAATGTGGGCTCTTCTTCAACTTGCTAGAGCTTATTTTGGATTCAGAGCAGTGTTCAGTATGTGCACTTTCAGGTCAGTGCTAGGAGCAAGTACCCTCTGTGGTTGGATGGTTTTGTTTCCTATGGGAATTTTGGCAAAGGCTTTCTAACAAGGACAAGTTTCTCAACAGACTTTCTTCCTCTAGAGTGTTCATTTTATGAGATATAGTTATCTGTAAGTCCAGCTGGATTGTAATGATACTTGAAAGTTGGTTTCTACCACTATTATCAGAAAACATAAAGTTGCATGCACTGGATAGCTATACATTCTTAAGTTTTTGTTGCTTTTAGTTATGCCATTTCCTTGAGTAGATCTTTTGGGTGCAAATTTATTTAGATTTAGAATAAATTTTCCCTTACATAAAAAGTAAAAACAGACAAACAAAACAACCTACTGTTTCTCATAAAAATACTTCTGACGTAAAGTAGCAAGAGCAGTGTGTATATATTTGGCATGGTCAGAAAATACATGTAGTGTTCATTTAAAAGTATGAAAAATACCTTTAGAAGGTCTAGTCTATGCTTAGAAACGAACTTTCACTTATATGGCTTTAACATGGAGCTACTTTGGTATAATGTATTGTTTATTTTTTTAAATTATTTAATGATATATGTAGCTAGACTTAGGACTTTTCAGAAAGATGTCCATAATAAATATTAAAAATAATGCTATTTTAAAAACTATTTTAGGGTTTAAAAAACTGCTTAGAGTTATATCCACATGTAATTTATGGAAAGAGATAAAATAGCTATTAATACTACTACACATTAGGCATAAATATTTTGATGTTTATGTACAAATATAAGTTAAAATTGGAAACTATGACCGCACCTAGTAAAATCATCTAAGTTTGTAGTTCAATAGCTTAGACAAGACATGTACTGCTCATCTCTGCTCTTTATGGTCAGAGGAACACAGCTCACGTTCTTCTGTGTAAAGGGCAAACATTGGCACCTGGTACCTGCATCCTTCATTTTCTGCTTCCAGCCGGGTCTGGACGTTCTAATAGCCCAAGCTTAACTTCATGTAAAGTCTTCACTGCCAGTGGGAACATCTTTGGCACAGCAAGAAGCTCCAGTTCTGGTTCGCGTTCCTCTGCCCTCCTTCTTGCCGCCCTTCCTCTGCCCCAGTTCCTTTTAGCTGCTGCAGTGAGCAGCAGTACAACTGAGTAATGATACAGTGCACCGTGGAAAGAATTAGAACCTTTAAACTTCCTTGAAGAATGTATATTTCCCACTTCTGGCAATGAAATAACAAATGAAATTTTGCATACTGAGTTTTCATTTATTTGTATGAGCCAGTAGCATTTTATAAACAAAACAGAAGTAAATGCAACTGTGTGTGTGTGTGTGTGCCTGTGTGTATATAAAAATAATCATTCAAGCTAACTTGCTTATGTTCTTATACAAGTCACTTACCATCTCTGGGCCTCTTCTCCCTTTCCTCTACAATCAGAGAGCTGAATTACTTGATCCTTGAGGACTCTTCCAGCTATAAATTCCAAATATTTTGTCAGATTGGCAAATTATATTGGTCTTTTCTTTCATGGTGGTTTTTTTGGTAGGCCATAATTCCTTATACACAGACATATATATCAACAAAGTCTTTTTTCTAAAAAACTGGGATTTTCGTTCTCTTACTCTATCATAGCTACCCTCCTCATATAATCCTATTCTTTTTGACACCGTTTGAAGAATGTTTGGACCTTATTTTGAGGTCATCTACCTCTAAGAAAGAGAAAATGCATGCACGGGCTTCCTTAAAATGACATTTTTTTTCCCTCAGAATTGTCAGCCAAATCCTGTAGTAATTATAGATAACAAATGATTCCAGATCTCTAAAAGGCTCTCTCAGATGAAAAGGGAGTGAAGGAAAAGGGGCTCGACCACTGTTTCTGACAAAATACTTGAGTTTCATTGCTCTTTTAGCTTTTATTCTTATAAAAAATGTTTATGCTTTGCAGATTGATCTGTTTTTAGTATTATGGCTTTATTTTGTCTTTTATGAAAAAGTTGGTAATCTTTTTTGTAATATTGTCTGTGAAACATGAACATTAATATATGAAGAAAAACCTCAAAATGCTTCAAGATATAGTGAAGTGTAAATCTTAAAGTTTTATCATTCATTTGTTAAGAACTTAAAACTATTGTATAATTATCTTGGTGGATATAATATTTTATGCATGACCTTTTAACGTTTGACTTAGCTTATTTCCCACTGCAAAGGGGAAGGCAGATTTTATGAAGGATTTTAGTAGCAAATCTATTTTATAAAATGAAAATCCACTGTGGAGATAGGAAAGTATCTGTTTTGAATCATGTTTGGAAATAAAATGGCTCCTCTGGGAATGTGTCTCTTTCATTTCCCCTTGTCTCATTCTCTGGTTTTCATTTGAGACAGTGCTGTGTCTTTTTCTGTGTATCCCAGATCCCTGGCCACAGTTCTACCCAAATCTTCTTCCCCCTGGAGCACTCGAGCTGTCCTTCAATCACTGAGGGGGGCTCAGGGACCTCCTTGATGGTATTCATTTCTTGTCTGGATACAGCGAGTGTTGCCTTGCCCAAGGAAACCTGCTCAGACTGGCTAGAACATTCATAAAAGCCAGGCAGGCCTGGGACCTATTTTGGGATCTTCAATACACATTAGGAAAGGACGATTATAATACTGAACCATTTCAGCCAAAGAAGTATCAATATCACTGAAGGTAAGTTCTCTGTCAATTACAAACAAATCTGATAATTTCACACTTGAGTTTAGTATGCGTAGTTTATATCAATACCATAGGAAATTACTTTTTTCTAGAATGAATTGTTTATATTGGTTCTAAATGGTTCATTTTCTCCAGTCTTGTCCATTCCTATTTCCTCAGCACTAACAGCACATAGTGGACTTTCAAAAGATGTTTTTGAATAAATCCTCACCAAGAAAAATTGAACTTATAAGAATTAGCTTATTAGTTTCCGTGTTTCTTTTAGAAGTAAGTTTATGTCAAATATAAAGTTACTTAAGACAAAAAAGTAAATATTTCCAAGCAGAATTAAACAACTGAAAGTAATCTAAGCCCCATGTTTAATTACCAAATTTTAAAACAAGAAGTGCTTTTGAATGAATGAAGATTTTTTAAGTCTGTCCTGAATTTTCCTCAGCAGATATTGAATTTTTGCTATGTTGAATAAACCACTGCAAACTGCCCTAAAGAATGATCTACATAACATATCTCACAAGTGTTCCACAAAGGTCAATTTCAGAGTTTGAGGAATTTTAACCAAAGCAATTCTACCACTTTTAGGATGTTGTCTTCCTTTGTTTCTGTTTTCATTATTTTTTGATAGAGAAATGGATATTCTTTATTCCAATCAAATTCATGAAATAATAAATATTTATTTTGCTTGGCCACAGGTTAAAGTTATTTTTAGTATTCTACTTTAAGGTAAATGGTTTACTAATCTAAGTGACATCTCCCCTGCTTACTTCGTTTCCACTGCTCTCCTAGAATCAAGTTTCCTTCTGGACAAAGCCAGTACCTCAATTTGTGTCCTTAATCCAATTCATTATTGTCTCTATCAAGGACTTGCTAAAGAATCTCCCTCTCTAGTCTCCATCTCTCTATATTAGTCAAATCTGTCCTGTCCAGGAGAAAAATCCCCTTCTGTCCTTTATTTCCATTTTCCTTTTCTTCTGATCCAAACAGAGTTGTCTATGGTCTAAAGATTTGACAAGTATCATAAATATCACAAAATTCTATTTCATGCAATTTCCATTATAAAAGAAAATTTTAACTCTGTTGCCCAGACTAGAGTGCCATGGCATCAGCCTAGCTCACAGCAACCTCAAACTCCTGGGCTCAAGCCATCCTACCGCCTCAGCCTCCCAAGTAGCTGGGACTACAGGCATGCGCCACCATGCCTGGCTAATTTTTTCTATATATGTTTTTAGTTGTCTAGCTGATTTCTTTCTATTTTTAGTAGAGAAAGGGTCTTGCTCTTGCTCAGGCTGGTCTTGAACTCCTGACCTTGAGCGATCCTCCCACCTTGGCCTCCCAGAGTGCTAGGATTACAGGCGTGAGCCACCGCGCCCTGCCGAAAATTTTAAAATTTAATATATATTTAGGTTGAACTACATAAGATTTTTGTAGATTAAACTAGTCAAATGTCATCAATTTTATGTGTTTCAACCTGATGGTTTCCTATTACTGGATTCTTAGGTTATTTCCAAATTTTATTTTATAAACATTGATAAAATGAACATTTTTCCATAAATCTCTTTGCAAAATTTTGATTGTTTTCTTAGGATCAGTTCCTAGTAGTGGAATTGTTGAGTCAAGGAGGGTGAACATCTTTATGGCCTATTATACACGTTGCCAAATTTCCCTCTAGATAGTGCTGATTTATAATCTCTTTGGTATCTTCAGTGCTATTTTTTTAACCCAATTATTCTATTCAGCTAACCTTGGTATTAATACCATGAAATCATGTGACTATTGGTTACCTTCTCAGCATAGTCTTCCAGTTTATACTTCATCAAACAATCTTTTTGCATGCCCAGAGCCTTAATAAATCCTCATCTAAGCCGTGCATGGTGGCTCACACCTGTATTCCCAGCACT